ATGCTCTCAGTGCTTTATTCTTCCTAAGATTATTTGCTAATACTTAGCATATTGCCATCATCTCTTTCAATTTCATGTGAACCCGACTACTTTTCACTGCACTTACTGCTACCATCTATGAAGGCTACTAAACTTTGTCAGAATTTTGATTATAGTTAGTAAGACATATTTTTTGTTTGGGGGTGGGTGGGTACGTATATATGGGCACACATCTCTGCACGGACACCGGAAGACAATATTGGTTGTTATTCCTCAGTTACTTTCCACCTTGTTTTTTTGAGACAGGGTATCTCATTGGTTTGGAGCTTGCCAAATACACTAAGCTGGTATTTTAGTGGGGGTCCTATTTCTATGGTAAACATCATGACCAAAAGCATCTCTGGGAAGACAGAATTTATTTCAACTTACAATTCTCAGGTCAAACACTATCATGGAGGAGAGTCAGGGCAAGAACTCTAGGCAGGAACTTGGAAGCGGAACTGAAGCAGAGACCAAGGAGCAGTTCTTACTGGCTTGCTCAGCCTGCTTTCTTATAGAACCCAGGACCAACTGCTGAGGGTTGGCAGTACCCACAGTAGGCTGGACCCTCTCACATCAACCATGAATCAAGAAAATGCTCTAAAAACTTGCCTACTAGACAACCTGAGGAAGGCATTTGTGTTTTGTTTGTTTTCAAGTGAGAATCTTCCTTCCCAGATGACTTCAGCTATGTCAAGTCGCCATAAAAGCCAACCAATACAATTAATTGGCCAGTGGACTCCAGAGACCTGCCTATCTGTGCTTTCCCATGAGACTAGCTTTTTAAAATGTGAGTTCTGGGGCCTGAACTCAGATGTTTACATGGCAAGCACTTTAACCAATAAGCTATCACCCTAGCCAAAGAGAAAGGAACTTATATGCATGTCAGTTTAGTGGTCAAAGGTTTTATTTGTATTTTACTCTAGTGAACTACTATGAACTTCCAAATTTAAATGCTATTAAATAATTGAAACACAAACTGTCACTCACTTAATTAGATGAGCTGCTTCAAGAAACATTCTCCTCTCCAAGAACGAGGCAGCTCTTTCCTGCTGCCTTGTGAAGAAAATATAATTTTAAGGGATTTACCATTTCCAGTTTCTCTGTCTTCAGGCGAACAGAAGGATTTAGGGAAATCTTCTTTCCTTGTGGTCCAGAATCATCATCAGTCCAGGCAGGAGCAATATCTAGGAGACAACAGGGTGCACATTAATTGGAGATCTAATTGGAATAGAACTTTTCATTTGACAAGCTGTGTTCTGGGCTCCTGCTGTTCAAAATAATTCTGGTTAAACAGTTGGCAGGTCTTACTTTTGTTTTTATGAATTTTTCCCCCTGTAAGTCTAAGATGCATCATATAAATCAGCTTTACTTGAGCGCTAAGAAATATAATATACAGCATAGTAAATTATGCATTATGGACTTTATGGAAATGTTAGCCTAAAAGATGGGCACCTAATCATTATGGTGCTCACCACAAAGCCCTAGTAACTGTAGTGTAAAAGCCTCCATGTTCAAGCAGGTGAAATAATATTAGAGTCAGAAAGACCATGCTATTTCCTTGGCTAGAAAAGACAGCACCACTACAAGAACTGTGGAAGTAGTCTAGAAAAACTCAGTGCAACTTCTAACATTTATGCGCAGAAGGATGATGTGGGCATGCAACTTTCTGAGCTAAAATCCCTTCCCCTTCCATTTTACACAAGGACTATGTTTCTAGCAGGAAAAGTGGACCTTTAAGAGTTAGGAAATACTCTCCTCATCCATTTTCCTGTATGTTTTCAATGTAGCTTAATTATGCAGATATGCTTCTTTCTGTTTGCAGGAATGGGAAATTAGGTGCCACCAGAGGCCAGCCCTTAAGAAACGATTTAATATGCCACCGTTTGAAAGACAAATTTCAACAATTTATGTCAATCCTTCCTATCTAAGTTGTCACTGTTCTAAATACACTCTTAAATGGTATTTTACTAGTTCTACATAGAAACAAGAGGAAGAGAAAAACTTTTTGAAATGTCACATCTTTATGCAGTGTTTAATTTTTTTAATTTCTCAGAGCATCTGTCTCTAAGTACAGAATGATTTGCATTCTCTTTCTTAAGAACATAAGAAGCACATATGAAAATAAAGAGTCTTCCTCTAAACCTTTAACACATCCTCAACATTCTATGCAAAATCTTTAATATAGCTTATAGGTGTTAAGAGTATATATATAAAAAAATTGTCACTGACTTTTAGCTCCAAATGGAATTAAACCTCTAGAAGGGTTGATTTTAGTGTGACAAAATTTTACAGTTCTGGTAACAGCAAGAAAGACTCTTGTTATTATGACATCTAATTGTTGGCCATGAGGTTAAAAAATATTAAATCCCTATTTTTAAGAGAAACTCGGTAGCAAGCTTACAGTGTGGCAGAAAAGATTGGCATGGGCTGAAATGGAATGGAAGAGCACAGAGAGGTAAGGAAACTCTATTTCTCAACTTTAAGGCTGCATCTTGAGACCTGTTTTTCAGTTGGTGCCTGACCTACAATTACAGGTCACTAACATCAGGTAAACTAAAGCTAACCCGTCGGTTTCAGACCAAGACTAGCTGGCCTTGAATGAGAGTCAGTTCAAGTTTAAGTGTGTGAAAGTGTCACTGAGTAGATGAAAGGAATGGGCAGAGGAGAGAGAAGGGGACACACACGACAGCCCCATATACCAAGGGACACAAGTTTACTGTTTTCCTACAGCTAAGCATAAAAATCTGATATGGCAAAAGGTGGAAATAACAAGTTAGCTCTGTTCTTCCTCTAGGCAGATAGTGAATGAATTAGACTTGAGTTCATTAATCTTCATCATAACCACAATGACATAGGTGTTATTCTCACTCCCAAACCAGGGCCTGACAAGGTAAAGAAATTGGCCCAGGCTGCACGTCCAGACCATGACAACACTACAATTTTCATCTCTAGTGACCCCACAAACCAGTATTGCTCTGAGTCCATGTTTTTTCATCATCAAATTTTCATCAAAGTAGAAAGACTCAAAGTGGTATTTGACAAGGACTATAAAGGCGAAAATCAATCAGGTCATGGAGGTAACTACAAAAACTGAAAAAGAGATGTTGTTTGAAGAGGAAAGAAGAGACGATATAAAACTATCTCAACCCTTGGTTTAATAGCAAGCAAGCACTGTGCCTTGGCAAAAGCTTGGTTTCTTCAGCCTACCTTCCTCTACATACAGACTTCCAGGTTAATTCTTAAAGAGGCACGTGCACAACGCCAGCTAGTGTTGACAATTCAGAGTTGTTTAAACCATAAAGTCCCTCACATATCTCAATTGCCAATAACTCTTCCCCCCCCTTTCTCTCTGTTTTTTCCTTCCCTCCCTCCCTCCCTCTCTTTCTGACTCTGCCTCAAGCCTCAACCTCCCATTTGTTCCTCTCTGTGGATCCTCTATTTCTGTTCTTTTTAGGATGAGAAGAAAGGAAATGCTTTGTAAGAGTATGATGAACACTGTAAAATTAATTTTTTATGTTACACAAAGCCTTAGAAGATACATTTTCCCCATCATTCGAGCTTTGAAAGACTGAGTGCAAAGGAATTAAGTCTTGTCACACTGCTAACCTAATAACAGTTTCTTTTTCCCCTAGAAATAGCTTCAGTTTATTTGCAGTTCACTCGTAAACTTGCATATCATTGAACTTACTGCCATAATAAACAATTCTGAATTCTCAGACTAATAGATATAATGGACAGATAATCTTAAATTATATTCATGTATAATACTGATCTTAAATATTCTAACTAATTTTATACTTGTAAATATCTCTGAGATGGAAAGAGAGAAGAGCCATCTTCTGTTTATTTTTGTTGAGGTTAATTATCAAAACTTGCTTACATTTTTAAAATAAGTACTGCAATGGTTGGAATGTGGAATATCCCTGTGGGCTCATAGGTTGAGTACTTGGTCCTTAGCTGTTGTTATTACTTAGGGATGTTACTGAGTTAGGGACGTTTATGTATGGGGACCTAGCTTGTAGAGGGGAGTCTGGCAGGCTGTGCACATCTTTGATGGTTTATACTCACTTCTGACTTCAGCCTTCTCTGCAGCCTGACAGGGTAAACGTGTGGGAAGCTTTGCCACATGCTCCCACAGCCACATGGCCTTAGCCACGCCTTTCCCACCATAATGCACTGACTGTTCCCTCTGAAACTGTGAGCCCAAATAATCTTGATTTCTTTGTCAGGTATTTGGTCCACTAATGAGAAAGTGAACAGATGTGAATACCCACTGACTAAAGGAGTCTAGAAGGTGATACTTAAGGATCTAATATGGGAAATCTATGTTGATGTACTTACACCAGAGAAACCATAACATGTACAAGCTACCTGGAGACAATTTTGAGGATTTCCCCTCCCTGTTCTGTGTCAAACACCATCTAGTAAATCTCGCCTACATTTATGTAGAAATAAAAATGAGGATCTGAGTTAATGCTATTCGTATTCTAGAAAAATATTCTGTGTTAATATTTTAATTTTATAAATATTTCTGAATAGCTACTTTCCTATTCCAAAATCAAGCATATTTTCTTATAGTCATTGGTACAAATATCACTTTACTTACCATTGCAAGATCTGTGCTCTCATTAGACCTGATTCTTAGGGTCTCTTGCACTCACTTATCTGAGCTCTGTGCTCTTGCTCTTGGCATCTCTTTAAACAAGGATGGCCTTCTACCTGCTTCCTTCACAACTTAGATGATGTTTGAATTTTGAGGAGGTGAAGTTTCTTGTTTTTTACATATTACAATGGGTCTTTTGCTGTATCCCAGTTTTGGAGGTTGAAGGAAGGACATAAAATTGGCTCACCTGTAAGAAGTCCTCACTTCTGCTCTAAAACCATGCTCTGGCTCTAGAAAGTCATCTGAACTACATGCTAGCTTACATTTCTGCAATATGATTAATGATTAAAAATACCACTGAGCAACTGTCTCAGGGTCATGGGAGCTAAGGATTCGGACCTCCCATGCTGCTCCTGTGTTTTCCTGTACAACATGCATATCATTGTTTATTTCCATCGATTATACCCTGGAGCTTCTCGTTCACTCTCTACTTAGTCTACTCTGTACATGTCTTTACTTTATTTGTGTACAGTATAAAATCCATATGCATGTGCAAATCTCTGAAGAAATACATACATTCTTGAATGATTTCTGATCTGAGCAATGAGGATGTTAACCTAATCATTTATTTTACAGAAATATTAAGTAACTCACAGAACGATCCTAGATCTCTCTGGAATTCCTGCTGTGCTGTGTTCATTACTAACTAGGTAGCATTTAGCAAATGTACACTAAATAAATGGCTAAAGGGACTAATTAGTTTGGTTACTTTAAAATCTGGAAATTTACTACACATATTTTGCATAATTAATGCTTTAGAATATAATCAAGGCACAAAGGACCCTGACTTTGAACATGGAGCAACTCTGATTGACCCCGAATCCTGGATCATCCGTTTCATTCATCTATCTTCTTTCCATGTGAATTCTCAATTTAAAATACAAACAGTCTATCAAGAGACTGGATGTTAATTACGTGAAAGGAATACTAATTAATAGTATTTCCAAGAATCACTAAACCTCAGTAATTAAAAGGTATATAATTTTGGCTAAAGATTACTAACCCATCAGAAAATACTTCCCCCAATCAGAGGAAATATATGATGGAGTATAAATTCCCATGAGGTCTATCTGATGGGGGCTGTTTCCTTCTTTCCTTTTGTCTTTCCTTCCTTCCTTCCTTCCTTCCTTCCTTCCTTCCTTCCTTCCTTCTTTCCTTCCTTTCTTTCCTTGTGCTGGGGACTGAATACGGACATTTATGCCTGGTAAGCATATACTCTTCTACTAAAGTATACTATTTGTCTATGTCCTAGCAGCTACTTAACCTAGACTAGTTCTCACTATTTTGTAATTCTTACCAAAAATAATGACATTAAAAATTAATATATGTGGGCTTCACTTTGAATTATAATTCAGCACTATGTAGTTAGCCTTTTAGTTATATTAAATATAGTTTCTAAATTGTCTTCTCTAACTTTTAGAGATAATTTTAGTGGAGGAATTATTTTTTCTTGATATTTGAGACAATAAGAACTTTATGGTTTGATTAAAAAATCATTTTCTATTTTATTTAAAAACAAATCACCAAGCCATTTTAGGGTACTTCAAATCAAAACAATATGAAAGTCAGTATGGCTGTACTTTCCAATTTACATTCATAAAATATCTTCCAAGACAAAAAGCAAGCAAACAAACACTTTTCTTCCATTCTATGCCCTCTGTACTTACTGTGTTTTCAAAGGTGCAGTGGAGTGTCTCATGAGCACTCGAGTAAAGGGGCAACAAATTGCATGTTGGCTGTAGAAGCCTTTCGTTACTTGATTATAATTTAACCATTACAGCTTCACATACATTTATTATAACACACTGCTTAAAACAAATTGCATGTTGGCTGTAGAAGCCTTTCGTTACTTGATTATAATTTAACCATTACAGCTTCACATACATTTATTATAACACACTGCTTAAAATTTCAACTCCATGTTCAAATAAATTCCCAGAAAAAGTCAAAATTTAACAGAAAGCAGCAAACAATATATTCATTTTGCTCGTTTATACACTGAAGGAAAAAAAAGCCATAACATCCTTCTTTAAAGTCTATTGAAAGTCATATTATGAATTCATTATTAAGAAAGACTAATTGAAGAAAAAAATATTAGGAACTAAATATGAATATACCTGAATTAGATGTATCTGTTGGGCTGTTTTCCAAAGAAGTAATTGGAGTATGTTCTGTTTTACTGTATCTAGGTTTTGTCTGTGAAAGAAAATGAGGGAGATGATGTGTCATTTTCCAAAGTAGGTCAAAGACCAAACTAGATATGCTCATGTTAACATAAATAGAATGTTTAAAGAGATCAAAGCAATATTTCAAAAAGTATGAAGCTCCAATATTTGGTATATTCATCTTCAAAGAAAGCATTTCAGAGTTGAAAGTAATAACGGTTTCGGCTCTAACAGAACAGAAGGCCATGTCCCTTGCCTTTTAGAAGATATCATCTAAGAGCTGACAGGAAACAGTCTCTCTGGTCACCATACACCTTGAATGGACCTTGCCCTTAAGGAACTTATCCTGTTGACTAACAGTCTACCTGTTTCTTGTTTTATTTCACTCCTACCACAAATTTAAAGAATCTAGAGTCCACTCTAGAATTGTGATTTAATAGCATAACATAGCAGATTGAAAGAAATTACATTAACTTGGATGTATAAATTCCCTACTTTTTAGAAATTAAATAAGTAAGGTGAACTATTTCACACACATGCGAGGGTGAAGGGAACACTCTATAGATTGGATGGTCAGGATTTGCCTTAGGACATAAGGAAGAAATAAAGAACTACACACACACACACACACACACACACACACACACACACACACAGAGTTCATATCTTCCATGAGGTAGGAATAATGTCTAGTTGTATATTGATGTTTTCTAATTAAGTTTTTAAAGAAAAGATACATTGGCTTGAAAATTTGCATTGTACATCATAAAAATATAAAAAGGAAAAAAGTCGTTCAAGGAAATACTAACTAATAAGTATTATTAGTGAAACTACAATTCTATATTGACTTAACCAACATTAGAGCAAAACATAAGGGATTTATGAACTGAATATTTAACTGGAGTTTAATATTACCTGAGCTGCTTTAAAAGAAGGTAAAACAGAGTCCTGAGTCTTGGGCGTGGATGAAGTCTTCGGAACTAGTGTTTCAGGGGGAGGGGGAAAAGGGTTAAATGCTGAGGTTTGAGGCTCACAGTCTTCTGAAGCTTGTAATGGGGATGGACAGCAAATATTTCCTGGATGGCCACTGTAAGACTTTTGTCTGATAAATGCTATCTCCCAAGGACATTCTGACCTATGATGAAAATAAATGATTTTGTGAATATGCAACAAATGCAATCAAGTAAATTCAAAGACAGTGTTTCTAGCAGAGTAAAAACCTTTAGCTATATATGTTAAATGACTCATCCTATCATATGGATGGAATTATTACCTCAACTTGGCTCTGGTGATTATGTTTTTTGCTTCTTCAAATGATACACCAATCATAGATTCCTTGTTTACTGAGACAAGTTGATCTCCTGGCTTCAAACGCCCATCCTAAAAAGAAAAGTCAAAGAGAAAATTATAAAAAAGAATAAGGTAGTTTTAATAAAATTAACATAATAAAAGTAATTAGGTTTTTTTTTTTTGGGCAAGCCAAGCACTCACTTCACATTGAATATTTCAGGATAGCAGATGCATCCACCCTAGTGAATGAATATTCTTCTATCTTTCCTTGGGTTAATGGAATATGAAGATACATGCACACGCAGAATGTACCTACACACACATACATGTAATGCACATACACATACATATATACATATATATACATGCACACAATACAAACATGCAAATATATTCACATACACATACATGTAATGCACACACATACATTCACACACAAACATGTATATAGATTCACACACATATATGCACACAATACTAACATTAATGTACATTCACACACACATACATGTACACAATACAAACACACATGCATATTCACACATACATACAATGTGTACACACAAGCACAAATATGCACACTGATTTTTTTAATGAGGTTAAGGAACCTAGTTATATTGGTCCTATCCAAATCTCAGTTAATAATCAACTATCTTCCTTACTAGACTTGCTGGCCCTTCTTTGGCCAGATCTACTAGGCTGTGCATACAGCTTCATAGTCATGCCATGCTGATTTAACTGGCTGTCTTTGTTAAGCTCTGGCCCTGTACATAACCATCCCAAGTGCATAAGACCCAGCATTATCAATTACAAGATTGCTGGGCCAGGATCTCAGTCACTTTTGTTTGTCTGCCCCCCCCTTAATTTAACTGAGAAGGAAAGTTCTGTTCTTTTACAGACTCTAAGGTAGCTCTCTTTTCTCATTAGTATAAACACAGAAAATATTTTCTCCAGCACTACGGAAAAAACAAAGGATCAAATTCTGAGTATCCTCCAAAGCCTTGTGTGCTGGAAGCTTGGTTCCCACTTGGCATTACTGGAAACAGTGGAGACTTCAGGAGGTGGGGCGAGTAGGAGGCACTGGAAGAACTGAGGACAATCCCAAAAGGAGGACTACGGGACCCTGGCTCCTTCTCTTTGGTTTCTTGGACACTAGACGAGCATTTTCATGCTGTCACATCCTGCCGAATATGTTGCCTTATGCCAAAAGCAACGGGCCAATCAATCAAGGACTAAAACATATAAGAGTGTGAATCCAAACGGACCATCAGTTGACCAACTGAGGGGTCTAGTGTAGTCACAGAAGGCTGACTAACACACAAGGTTTAAAAGTTTAGTTTTGACTTTGATAGTTTTGAGACAATCTCTACAAATTCAAGATACTTGACGTAAAATCTAACAGGAGCCAGTGGAGTGCTCGGCCACAAATGGGACACCTGTACTCCCCTCCTGTACATCTCAGGGACAATGCTGAAGTTGAGGCAGAAATATTCTAAGAGGTCAGAGAGAAACTGGAGTGAAGCAGGGTCTACCGAACATGAGACCACTGCCATTATGAACTCACAGCTGTTGTGGCTCTCTGCACAAGCCTTATACTAAAATGATCAAGCGGGTCAACATGCCAGCATGAGCCCACCTGAGAGGGAACGGGATGGAAGCTGGCATTCAGACAGATGGGAATTTGAATGTGAGCTCTGCAATTAGTAGCAGAGGACAATGAGGAAAAGGGATGCGAGAGCACATCCTCTCACCAGGAACCAGGAACCAAACTCCAGCCAGCTGGCGCTAAGGCCTGTATTAATGCCTGTTACAGAGAATCACTGCCAGGATACAGACCAAAGGCTACAAAAGTCCAGATGGGCAAAAGGCCTTGGACTGACCTGCAGTCTCCCTCACTCTCCGCTCAAGCCACACAGTTCCCATGACCTGTGTGTGTCACAGGAATATTTTGCAGTGTTTTAAGAGGAGGAGAGAAGGCCTCTGGCCACAGGTTTCTAGTGTGTATACTAATTTTTACTTTTGAACATGTATTTGCAGCAGTGAGTGTTTTTCTTTGCCTCTTAGAATAAGATATTAGCTGATCATACAAATTTCTGAATCTGTTTAAAAGTCAGAGCATGCGAGTGAAAACAAAGCCAGGTTTGTGAGTCTGACATCCTAAGCGGGTGAATTCTGCCCCAGATGGATTAATATACAATATATGTGCAGACATGACTCGAGGAATTGCCGAGGCCTCTTCCAGTCACAGGTTACAGAGCAGCTGCAACATATGTTTGGCTAAACACCAGGCAAGTCTAAATGTTGAACTTCAGTTTGAACACTCTTTCATTTGACAGTAATGTACCTGTCAAAATAATAAAGTGATCCTGGGCATATAAGTTGTGTTGTAAACTACCATCACTGTTCATTTCAATTAGGATTATATCATAAAGTTTTCAAATAACATCTTATGGCATTATCAGAAACCATCTATTGAGGCCAGTTCTGATGGAACTAATTACTCAGTAAGGAAATGTTGCTTCTGTGAGTCTTTGAATTCCTTTCCCAAGCTACAAACTAGATGTAGCCTTCTTTTAACTCTAGTTACTACCGTACACATAAGAAAGTTGCGTAATGTCTGAGACTCCATTTTCCTAGCAAAAAAGTTGGTGTAAGTATCAATAATATGAACTTAGTGTAAAAATCAAAGAATGCATGCAAAACTTGATGCAGGTGGTAAGTAAGGTAAGCTGAGTCAGTCTCACATTTACTGTTACATCTTCTGGAGAAGCTCAGTTATACTGCTCTTGAGATAGAGCCCACAGCTAGGAAAATGTGAAAATCCTCAACTTTCCAAGCCTGCTGGAAAATTAACTACAACTATCTTTCTCTAGCTTCACCACACACCTTCTATCTTAGCATAAAAATTCCTCATCCTGTTTTCAGAGAATGTTCCTCACACCAGCTGTCATCTTTACACTTCAGTGACTTTACGCATGGCCACTTTTCTCAAGAATGCTACCTACCATCCACTCCCATTTCTCTAAAGGACAAACCCTCTCACGTCACAGGCGGGCCCAAACACTGTCTTGCCTGAACAAAACCCACATTCACTTACCTGTGTCTTAGCACTTACTTCATACTGTCCTTACTTACATTTACTTTCACACTTTTGCAAATTAGATCACATTAATATTGAGATAGCTACCTCTCAGACGAGTCACACTATTCCTTTGGTTGGCCCCATCATGCTACCGTGTTTGGTTCCCTAGCACAGTGCAAAGGAATCTAGTAAGTCAACAATACGTTAAGGAGGCCCAGGAACTACCTTGAGGAAGTTAAGGCGGTTATGAGACAATGGGAACAATAACGGTAAAGGGGAGAGTTGTGCTGCAAAGTGAACCGTGTGATCCTTTGCTGCTTCCTCAGTGTTCACAATGGGACTGGTTTCCATCTTCCCGAAGCCTTACTGTCCTGTGCATCCAAATGCTTCGATTATAGTTCAGCAATGTGCTTAGCATAGCTTCCTCCGGAACTGAAATACTGCCTTCCATGCTTTGTGAGCCATGACTAGCTGTGGACACCTATGTCAATGGGACCTTTGTCTTTACTTACAAGCTTGACAAAAATTCTTCAGTTTATCCAGTCTCACAATCACTGCAAGAGATCCTATTTCTTTATATAGTGAGGAAGAATACTGCCAAGTACACCATGGCATGGTTTGTGAGGGGCATTCCAATTTCAGAGCTAGGAGAGGAATGCACCTTTATAGGCAAACAGGTATAGTGCATAGCCACATACATGTATATTATACAGAGCTTATATATATATTTTAAACACTTAGGATCAGCTAAATGAAATATGAAATGTTACTTCATATTTGCAGAAGCTTTCCTCTTTATGTTATTATAAATGAAAGAAAACATTGGAAAACTTCAAAAAATTACCCATCATCTGACACAATGAGCTAAGAAGGAGATATATCTTGGTCAGGAGTGAAGTTGACAGCAGTGGAATGGTAAACAGACAGGTGACAGAATGATTATGGCAACATCCATTCATTAATTTCTAAGTGATTACCACTAAGGAAATAACTGTAAAGGAATCAGATGGAATCCTTGCCTTTAGGAGGAATAGTGACTAGTGGTTCAGCCTAGTTAAAATAATCAGAGACACTGGTGTTCCATTACAAACTGAGCTAGGTGACATGACAGGAAACATGGGAACAAGACCTAGCCACGGACACAGGAACAATAAAACCTGTCCTTATCTGCCGTTGCACTGGAGGACAGGAAATAAGTCCTCTGCCAAGTGTTCTTTAAACTGACACCTGGAATAGTAGAACGGGAAGGAGGTGCTGTTCCCAGCTTAACGGAACAATATACTTACACGGAGATAAGGAAGGTTAGCCTCTCAGAAACAGGGAATGCAGAAGGCAGAAGGGGATCCACCAGAGGCCTGTAGGTTACTAATAGTAGTTAAGGTAGCTCGGTGGGAGAGGAAACAGGCATGGTGCACTAAGAACAGGCAAAGCTGATGTGTGCCAGTGAAAAGCAATGACAGGCTAAAGCCTGAGAGCTCAGAGAGATGACTCAAACACTGTGTGCTGTGCAAGCAGAAGCCTAGTATAGACCCCAACACCCACATAAAAAAATCAAGCAATTCCAGTGCTGGGAAGGAAGAGAGAGGCGGAAGCTCAGAGCCAACTTGCCAGCCAGTCTAGCTTAATTAACCAGCTCTGGCATCACTAAGAGACCCTGTCTCAAACATTAAGGTAGAGAGTGATAAAGACATTAGCATTGACTTCTGACCCCATTTTCATGTACACATACATATACCTTTACCAACATACACATACACTTGTACACACATACCACAAACATGCACACAGACACTCTCCCCACACACACAGAGAGACAAAGACAGAGAGAGAGAGACAGAGAGACAGACACACACACATACACACACAGAGAGAGACAGACAGAGAGAGACAGAGAGAATGACTAATGGGCTCAAGAGACAGTAAAAAGGTCAACAGTATGTACTAAAATAAATTGGAATATGGCTGTTATGATATGGGAAGAAGGAAATGATTGGGAAAGAGCTTTGAAAAGTGATTGTGAAGAGGCTATTATTTGGGAAGAAATGAGAAGACAGTATGAGGTAAATATCATAGATTGTGCCATTGTGCCTCAGAAATACTAATTATGAGATACCTCTAGGAGAGCTAAGTGGAGATTTTCATCAGGAAATTAGAAAGTTGAGTATGAAGATGGAAGGAGTGCTGAGGTCAACAGGTTTAGGAATAGTCTCTGAGGACTCTAGACTGCCCGGGACTAGCTAAGTGGGCTGAAGGGGCTTTCAGATCCTCTTATCTCCTTATTCAGAAACCGGTGTGTTTGTTCTCAGGGTGCAGGCTGCCTATAGTTCTTAGAGCTATCCAAATTCTACATCAGAAGATCTGATGCCCTCTTTTGGTATCTATAGGTACTGCACACATATGACAAACTGAAAAGCAGAAAACAGGTACATGTACGTATGCCTTGCCCCCAATCAGTTTTTTAAAAATTGTAGCCAACTTGAAGCACACATGAAACTGAAATTCAGAGAATAATTAACAATGATCAATCTGGCCTTCTAGTAAGGAGAAGTTTGCAGCCTATATTTCTATGAATATGTACTTGTACACCATGTGCAAATTCTGTACAGATTAAAGCTGTATTCTATGTTAGTTCTGGTGGGTCAAATCTGTAATAGCAACTACTCAGGAAGCTTAGAGAAGGGTTCTACTTGGATTCTAGAGTGAGTTCAAGGCCAGCCTGGGCAACTTAGTGAGAACATGTCTCAAAAATAAAAGACTGCCAAGAGTGATAGGATGCTTTCTTAAAACAGAATCAGGGTCACTAGAAGCACAGTATCAAAAAAATTATTTTTACAGTGAAAGTGCATCTCTTTTATATTTGCCTATGGCTTTCTGGCTTAAGGAAATATTTAAAAAAAATAAATATAAGGACCAGAGAATTACTTATTCTTCTACACTTTTTTTTCTAATTGGTTTTCTTCTTTTGCACATATCCTGAACATTAATAACTTCATGCTGCACTCTAGTGGTAAATGAAGAAAACGGTCCATTAGAAAGTTTTGTCTTTCAGCACACTTCAACCAATAAGAACAGACATATATCATGAACATAATATCTTAATCTGCTGTGGCTTAACAGTTAAAAAGTCATTTAAAATTACTGTCTTCAATTTACTACTCTAATTTAAAATATTTATGGATTAGGGAATAATTATTACTTGTTTTAAAAGCAAATTTGTATTATTTATCAGGCACCTTTAATATGATGGCCTTTAAAATGAACATTTGAGGGGCTGAGTTCAGGGGATTGGTATGAGTTGGAGGGCTGTGCAGTGAGGTCCAGGTCAGCCAGGTCTAAAAGAAAGTCTCTGTCTCTAACAGGTAAGCAAGCAAACAACTTAAACTACACTAAGTGCCTCCCGTCTCCTATTCTCCCCACTCACATCTCTAAGCTTCAAAACTGAAGTGAGAGTGAATCTCTTTATTCTTACCAAAAAATTATCGGGGGGAGGGGGCTTGAGTTTGTTTAACTTTAACATTAAACTGTGTTATTTGGCTAAGGATTTAATTTGGATAGCTAAAATGTTTATCATTATAATACCTTAAACTGGTAATAACTTACAACTTAGAAATATATTGGAAAGACACTCAGTGTTTCTATTATTGTGATCAAACACCATGCCCAAAAGCAACCCGGGAAGGAAAGGAAAGAATTTATTTCACTTACACTCCCAGATAACAGCCCGTCACTGAGGAAAGTCAGGGTAGGAACTCAAGCAGAGAAGGAACCTGGAGGCAGAAACTGATGCAGAAGCCATGGAGGAGTACTTTTAACCTGGCTGGCTCCTTATGGCTTGCTCAGCCTGCGTTCCTATGGCACCCAGAACCACTAGGCCAAGGGTGTCCCCACCCGTGACGGGCTGGACCTTCATGTATCAATCACTAATCAAGAAAATACCCTAGCTTTCCTACACCCTGAGCTATGGGGGGCAATTTCTCAACGGACTTTTTCTCCTCTCAGATTACTCTAGTTGTTTGTGTCAGGTTGACTTAAAACGAGCCAGCACAGATGCCTTGTGAAATAAACAAACCTGAAACAGATCAATCTTTACATGGTTTTGGCGAAAGTGATGTTTTTCCTTCCTGAGGAAGTAAATACGATTGAAAAGACCAACTGTTTGCTCTGTGAGTGTCTGCAGTGGGAGAAGGGCAAACTGTAAGTATTTAACAAAAGCCCAAAAGAATAAACTTGGAAGATCCTTTATAAGATATATACATTGACATAAATAAAACCTCAAAGAGGTGACAATGGCAGCAGCATAGCAGGTTTGTTAATTAAGTTGCTGCAGTTTTGCTTAAAATTTGGCCCTGAGTTTCTTAGCCACCAGAAAAAGAAATGGGTGTTCTATCACATACTTTGTATACCAAGGATGAGATTAAGGAAACAGGTTAGACACTGTCTGCTCTTAATTCTAATCTAGTTTCTCCCTCCAATGCTAACTCTAGTCGCTTGTGGACAAAAATAAAAGATCAACTAGTTAGTCAATGAGAATTAGTGCAACAGCATGTCACTAAGCAATGTATAACTTTTAGTTAGAGTCTGACATATTATTTACATACTTGGAGAATTTATTTATATGCTAGGGAAAAGCCCTTGAATGATAATGGTCCCCCTTGTATATTTCATTGAGAACAATCAACTCATATAAAAACAATTTACTGAAGGAAAAAAACAAATCTTAGCACTGGTGGTTTTTTGTCATTATTGTTTATTTTATGTTTACCTTGTAACAGTCGCCTCCAGGAATGACTTCCTGAATATATACCAACGGTCCTTCATTTCTGTTAATTCCGCCTAGGATCTTTAAACCTAGGCCTGTTTCCTTAGTAACTGTAATCACTCGGAAGGCAGGATCCCTAGGATAAAATACATTAGCACTCACAGGTTAGGCAAGACATTTGTAAACAGAGGTTTCTGTCAGCTATCTGGTAGATCAAATTTTCAGATCTATATAACCCAAAATAGTTTATGTCTACTAGCAAGAACATTTAAGAGGATCATAGAAAAGAAGTCAAATGAATTTTTATCAGTATTTTAAATCATTATTACATAAACCATAAACAATTAGTGAGAGCAACATGCCAATTTTTTAGGAGTATAAGAAAAGCAGTTTTTAAATGTTACTTAAGTGAATTCATGGATTTATTTAAAAGGGCCTGAAATTTGCTTTTTTAGCTGTTCATAAGATTGGCCTAAAATCAATGTTTTACTATATTAGGTAAACAACTTCATGGTTATAGGTTCTTACAGCAAAACACATTTGCTTCCATGTGAATCTCAAAAATAAATTATCCTTTTAATTTAGGAAGAGAGCTTTATTGCTACAAAGCACTTGCTTCAGCTGTAATTTCTGCTACACATGAGAAATGCCACCAAAAGAGAAGTGTCAGAAGAATTCTCCCAAAGGTATGTCACCAACTTGTATTTCTGAATATGTTGGTCAAACAAAACTTAAGCAAAGTTAGAAACAAAGGTGGGCTTCAGACTTCCACATTACTAAGTGAGACCTGTGTTAAGAAGTATAAATATAAAAATGCTAATATAGTTAATATTTATAGAACCCTTTGTTTTAGTTGTTTTCACACACACATACACACCCTTTCATTTTAAACTATTTTGGAGAACGGAATGTATAAATACATACATATATGCATACATACATATCTTTATATATTTCTGTATATCTACATATGTATACATTTGCTTATGTGAAAAGGAGAACCAAAAAGAAGTAAGAATAATAATGATTACCTATAGGAAGACTGAGGGCACAGGACAGGACAAGGATTAGAGAAGACCTTCCTTCCTTGACCCTTGTAAGATATGTTATATGTTTACAAAATATTTACTAGTTTCTTTGGTTGATGTCCACATGCTACTCGGAAAGGGGTCTTTCCAAAAGTCATCATTATCTTTACTACTTGAATTTGGCCTTGTCTATTGGATTACTTTGATATCCACAGGATACAAGCAAAATCAAATGTGAGGAAGACAGAAATTTGTAAAACACTTAATGCAGCCTGCTAGGGAATATTCTGCCACTACTTGACAAGGCCCAAGTTAGCTTCCTGAAGGATGCGAGATCAGACAAAAGGAAATGAATTCAGTCACCCAGCCTTTGACCTGAGGTGTCAGACACTATTATACCATCAATTACCCACCAAAATTTCTCAGCCACCCCATAGAACTATAAGGAAATAAGGAGTGCTTGCTGCTTTAAAACATTTGGGGATGGTTAGTCAGCAAAAGCTAAACTTAGATACAATTTCAAAAGAACCAAACCAGATTTTAAAATAAAAAAAAATCCAAAGAACAAAAACCCCATAATCTGTACAAGGAATTTAAAAGAGAATACAGGGTTTACTCTGTGTATTGATTTACATTTTACTATGGTTTGTAGCTGTCCCCACAGGCCTGTGTTAAAAAGCTTCGGGTGCTATTGAGAAGTTACTGGTGGTACCCTCAAGAGGCAAGGTCGAATTCTAGGGCACTAGAATACTTGGAGAACTGCCCTGAAAGCAACACTGCAAACTGTCTCTTGGCCACTATGCAGTGAAGAGACCAGCCGGTACAGGATGGTGCTATGTCTCCACAGGCTCAGAGAAGAGAAGGGAACACACACCAAAACCTGAGCCAAGAGTCTTTCAAGTTTCAAAGTTGATTATCTCAGGTGTTACTATCACTGGGACGGAAGGCTCACTAGTACTCACCAAAGCCCCAGTAATAATTTGACATGTTACTTTACTCATTGCTCAGTATTGCTTCCCTAGGCCACAGAGCTACAAAACAAAACAAAACCTAACAGTGTACACATTACCAAACATTAAATTACATTTAAAATTACTTTTCAAGTAGGCTGGGTGATCCTGCAGCAGATGTATATATATTCATCCTTTGCCTTGGATTTCACAGCTGTGTAAATGAAGAACTTGAAGAGCCTAAATATTCTTCTTTTCTTCAGACTGGAATAACAGAAAATAAGTTTTCAAGTCATAGGCCATTCGAATGCAATTCCAATGCCACAAAAAGACATTATATATACTTGGCAATAGACAACATATGCCAGTGTATTTCTACTGATGTATTTCTCATGGGCTATGTATGACCTTGTGGCCATTGATGATAACATCTGGAGCATCAAGGCAGCTCTCGATACAGACAGATGGATATCCCTCCATCACTGTGAATACAGGAAACCCATGCTCTGTAGAACAGGTGAAGACTACAGTGATGTTTTTGGCAGTGATTACACCTTCTCTGGGCAATAAGCTCAAAAATGCACAAGACTGGAAAGCGTCTCCTGTGAGCACAAGGCTATGGAGCTCACAGTCAGAAAAACAATTATATAATATAGCTGAAGAAAACAGAAATTCCTATCTCACCAATTCCCCTGAGGGTCTCCTTGCAGATTCTATATGACCCCAGCTCATATTACTCCACTTCATGTGTTTCTTTAACACTTTCCTATGAAAAAGAAAAAAGGCATGGCTTTAACATCTTATATAACTCTGCAGTGAATAATACAGAGTCGCTTAATTAAAACACACTACATTCAAGCAGAGATTCACTACCTGCAAGTGAGAAATGCAAGCAGAGCTGAGGAACGTCCCTTTAACATGAGGAATGCAAACTACATGCAATCCTTTAACTCTCCCTCAAGTGTACTCCTGGGAGGGAGGGAAGATACATTCTACGCTCCAAGTGTCATTTCTAACCAAATTGCAGGTTTTGCTTCATTTTTTTAAAATTGTGACATGGCATAATTAATTGAAAACAGCCAATATTTAAAGTTGAAAACCCTATCTGGATCATCCTGTACAATCCTCCTAACTAAAGAACTGAGCGAAGAGGTTCAGAGGCATTGTGCTTTTCCACATTGATGCACAATGCTTACTTCCTCAGCTAGAACTTGGGCTTTGGAGTCTACAGAAGGAATCTTGGCATTCATTACCGCTGGCTCCAACAGATGTTTCCAGGCTTCACTAAGTCTCAGCTTCATTGACACAACAGGCCCCTTGATAGCAGTAATGTGTCCATCAGTGTGCACACACATAGTAGAAACTTACCAAACGTTTCCTTTATCTTATGTTTGCTGCAAATCAACTACAGAGTCAGAGAACTAGAACCAAGGGTTTATCCTACCTCTCTCCCAACCACTGTATACAAGAGAAATAAAAGCATCTCTATATGAACTCAAGGGACCCTGGACAAAGAACCAACAATCAATCTGTAGGAAGCTTAGCAAGGAGTTATACTCCCTGGGTCTTACCAACATAGCTGGACTTCCCAGCTCCTACAGCAGCAAGCGGGACAGTGGAGACACCCAGGTCATGAGTGGCCAGAGAAATGATGCCACCAAGCCACTGCACTGCTATCAGCAAAACACCGGTGGCAAGGAAGTCACTCAGTACTACCCTTCAGGGAAGGAGAGGTGATGGCTTGAAGGAAGAGCTTTGATCGACACTGACTCAGAGTCTGGAGCCACTGCAGCCAGGAGACTTCCATTCTAAGAGTGTCTGCACGGGCTTTTCAGATTGCTGTAATGATGTAGCACAGCAGTCTCAGGCCTCAAGAGAGGACATTCGGATAGAAAATAGGAGCAGCCACTGTTTATTGATACCATGTGCCACAGATTATATGAAATTCAGATGCATTTATTTTATTTTATGTCACAGAAAATGTAACAGACGTTAAGTTAAAGAATCAAGTTAAAAAAAAACAAAACAAATTTCCAAAACAAAACAAACAAACAAAAAAAAGAATCAAGTTCAAACTACAATATTGCCATGAGCTAGTGACATGTCCTCAGAAGTCATTTAGCCTTTTGGCATCACCTCATACTAATGTAGGAATAGGAACACCTAGCCCAAAGGGTGATATGGAAAAAGGGAAGAAAGGAAAGAAGGAAGAAGGAAGGAAGGGAAAAAGGAAGGAAGGAAAAAAGAAAATCCTAGCAGCTTCCTACTGGTTACTAAAGTGATGAAGATCTCTATCTAGTGGTGGTCTGTCCTCACAGGACATAGGTCCCCAAGCCCTCCCTGGAACACATCCAAATGTAAGCATCCATTAATGCTAGTCTCTATATTGGATTTCATGTAATGCCAAAATTGGCATTTAAAAAGCAATTCTATTTCAAGGTATTAAAATTTAAGTGCCCAAATTATTTCACTCACTTAAACATGCTGAGCAGTGCACTACCTAGTTACAGATGAACAAGGAGCAGAAACTAGCCTCAGAGACAGTCAAACAAACACCGGAAGGTGTAAGTGTGCTGACAGTGGTGCACACTAGGGGGCTGAGAAGTGTGCAGCCGTCACGAAACATCAATAGAGCCCGGCACCACTGTAGATGTCCTCCTCTGGGAGCCGCACAAGGCAAGCAATGTTAATCTGATTTTACACAAGTTATAGAGAAACTATATCATTTATCCATTATCACAAGTCAGATGCGAAGTGTAACTTATTTCTTCTAGCATTAAAACCCAAGTCTTTTCTATTCTAGCATGCTATGAAATAAACTTATGTAGACAAGTTCATTCTAAATCTGTCCAAACTTGATATATGGAGCCTCTAACTGGAGATCAATATCAGGTGTCTTTCCTTGTCTGCTCTCTCCTGTATTTGTTTGTTTGTTTGTTTTTGAGGCAGCATGTCTCGGTGAATCTGAAACTGACCAATTCAGCTAGGCTAGCTTGCAAATGAGTTTGGGGCTGTGACAAGCTTTTAACACGGATTCTGGGGATCCAATCTCAGGTCTTCTGGCTTGCATGGTAGGCATTTTACTGACTAAGCTATCACCCCAGCTAAGTCCAAGATTCTTTAATATTTATTTATTTATTTATTTTGGTTTTATGAGACAGGGTTTCTCTGTATTATTTTGGAGGCTGTCGGTCCAGCCTAGCCTCGAACTCACAGAGATCCGCCTGCCTCTGCCTCCCGAGTGCTGGGATTAAAGGCGTCTGCCACCACCGCCCGGCTTAATATTTAGTTTTTATGTATGCCCCCCTTCTCCTATGTTTGTTTCTTACCTTCTTTTTCATTTATGCATGTGTCGTGTAAGTGTGTTTGTGTAATATGTGCACATGAGTGTGCATGCAAGTGCCTGGGGAGATTACAGCAGGTGTCCTCCTTAATCATTCTCCATCTTATGCTTTGAGGCAGGGTCTCCCACTGAACCTGGAGATCACTGATCTGCAGAGAGATTGGCCTTTCCTGCTCCTCTGCATGGGGATGGCCAAAGGATGCCATCACACCAGACATTGTAGGTAGGCACTGGGGCTGACCAACTGCGCCATCATTCCAGCTCTGTGCCCCTCTCTTTCATACAGGCTGGCAAGCCTTTTCATCAATCAAGGTTCTAGTAATGTTATACACAGAGTCACACGGACAAGGATGACGCATATGTCCCCACTACTTTGACAGAATGACACAGAAGTAAAACTTTTTTCCTGTTACTAAAAATATAAGCACTCAAGGAAAATATATTGCTGATCTAGTTTGCTGAGTCAGAAGATAGAAAAGATCAGGTCAGCAAAAACAAACTAGAACACTACAGAAGAGCATTTTGTTTTATAGGATTTATTTATTTCAGAAAATTAGGCTTTATTTTAATAGATCACTCTCTTCTCTTACAACTTAATTAAACTATAATAAAACAGAAATCTTATCAGATAAAAAATTGCCCATCATGCATACAATCTTTGATTAAGACTTGGTAATGTATAATCTCAATAATTTCTAAAATGAGATATTTTAACAGATCAAAAGCACAAAAAAAGTAAAATAGGTAGGCATAAAATATATCAGAAAGGATGAAATTACCAGGCACGTCGTAAAGAAACTGATACAAATTTCAACTACTTTTCCCAAAATAGTGTCTGTTATTCTGAATGTCACCGTCATGATTAATTTCTAAATCTTTTTGAAATCTTAATGAAAACTGTATTGTAAGGAAGCTACAAACTTTTGCTTCCTTCTTTTTGCTTTTAGAACCATTTTAGAAAAAAAGCTGCTTATTTTGCCATTTTTTTCCTGTTCAATATTCCTCCATTTGCACTAAAATTGCAAATACATGTGTTTCTCTTAATTTTTAGTTATGGACATTTTTATGTAAATACACGTGGCTATATTCACTGATCTTTGGTGGTTTCTATATTTAAATTTGAACTAGAAACCCCTTTGCCACTCCAAGGTAAGTCGGTTTCATGGATTTTCTTTTAGAGCTTTTATGACTACATTTTAAAATCCTTGATAACTATCTTAGGATGAATGTCAAGGACAGACCCAGGCCCGACTTTCTCCCTGGAAGATCATCCACATGTCTGATCACACTTACAAGCTGTTTGCCACCTCTGATCTGACATGCAATCTTCAGACTAATTCTTGTATTTGGATCAATTCTTGTCATTTCATTTAACTTTTTTGATTAACTTATTTATTCATGCACTAAATTTGATGTAATTAATAGGCTTTATAATATGTTCCTACATCTTGTAAAACCAATTCCCTCTTGTCATTTTGTCTAACCAACTTTTCTTAGATGTTTGGGGTTTTTATATGTACATATTAACTTCAAATATTCCCTAATTTAAAAAAGCAGTGGCATTTGTTAGAAAATCATACTAGACTTACAAAGAGCTAGGGGGAAGAGATGCTTTCTCTCTTTGGGTTCCAGTTGTGGCCGGGAGAGCAGCATGTGGACCTTAGGTTCTTGTCTTTCTTGGTTTCTCACATAAGTGATTTCTCCCCCAATAAAAACATCCCTATTTTGTTTCGCTTAATATTTCCCCATTAAATCTTGTACATTTATAAGTTAATCTTTAAATACTTTCTTTTGTTAACTTAAGATCTTTTAAAAATCTATTTGGTGGGCCAAGCATGAGACCCAAGTTCCATCCCCAGCACCTGTGTAAATAGCTGAGAGCCCTTGTAATCCCCATGCTGGGGACTCGAGAAGGGAGGGTCACGGGAGGGTCACTGAGCTTCGATGGCCTGCAAATATAGCAATCTGTGAACTCCAGTTTTAATAAGAGATGGTCTCAAAAATAAGGTCAAGAGTGATAGAGGACACCTGATGGCAACATCTAGTCCCCTCACAACGTGTTCATGCACACATGTATGCATGTTCACTCACACATGTACACACGCATATGAATACACACACTGGCACTCATGCACCAACTACCTTGTAAATGACAAAAAGGCTTTAACTAGTATCGCCTAAAAAATAATATCCTATTCCAAGCTCTATAAACAAATAGATGTCTTAAGTGAGAAAAGTTACTAGCAAGCCAACAGATGGCAGCACGCACGCATGCACGCGCACACACTTTTGTTGTAAACTGCACATTTGCAATATGTTGATTTACAACAATTGCATCATAACACCTCAGCACACACAGACTCTCCTTATCATAAACCACTAGAATTTTTCTGCTGTCATTGCAAATATTAAAGTAACACATCTTCCTAATTCTCACCCTTTCTTGAGAGCATGCTTCTCTATTCGTTTCAAAGCACTTTGCAAACTGTGAGGTCAAGAAACCCCAATGTCTTTCCAGTCATTTGCCTTAAAGATCACTGGAAGGAAAAGGAAGGACAAAGTGTGACACCCAGTCAAGGAGAGATTTGTTGGTTTAATAGCAAGACTCCACAATCTAATAATGACGATAATAACAGTAATCCATAAGAAAGCTTCTTTTCAGAGACTTCTGGCCATATAATAGATCTCTATTCATATTACTATTCCAGTCAGGACAGAGGGGACTGTTAGTTCACACTGAGTGTAAGGGCTGATCTTGAGTAGTTAGAGAAGGAGTGGAAAGGTGCCCAATAAGGCTCTTCCTAAAGGAGGGTACTGTTCCTATACCAAGGATATAGGGAAGAAATTTTACTGGGGCAGGGGGAGTCACGGTCTATAAAGTAACTAGCTTCCTGGCAGAGCAGTAAGGAAATATAGGGCACAACATGATTTGCTCAAAAAAGATGTGGCTAATTAGGTGTGTGTGTGTGTGTGTGTGTGTGTGTGTGTGTGTTATATGGTGTATAAAATACCCTTTGAAATAAAAATTTAACACATTAGTAAATAATTATGAACAACAGAAGGAGGGGTGTTAGTGGACATTCTGCTATGTCCCTGTGACACCAGCACAGGGATGTTGGGGAAGTGTAGGTTCATGAGTCTCCAGCCAGAGATACCCTGTCTCAACAAAGTAACAAAAAATTCCCAAATAGTAAAAGGAAGAAAAAAAGGGAGAGGTTAGAAAAAAATGAGAGGGGAAAACAAAACATCTTAAGGACAAGCTTTTGAGGATCCATAGTGGTGGTAAATCCAAATTCAGGGTTTTTTTAAAGGCAAGCTATCTTTTAAAAAGATACACTACTATTATTTATTCTTTGAGAATATCATACATGTATATAATGTATTTTGATCATATTCAACCCATTTCTTTCTCTAATTCCTCTCACACTCACTTTCCAACCTCATGTCTTCTTATTTCCCGTTTCTCTTTTCTAAAAAGTAACCCATTGGATCCAAT